AATATTATATTACTAATAGTCTAAAATAATGATAATCTTTTAGTTCAAATATAGATATGTTTTACCAAATAATTGGATACAATTAAAATTATATGAGATCACATCAATTAACAATTGTAAACCAATTAAATATAAATTAATTTTATATATAAATAAATTTTTTAAAAATACAAAAAGAAATTTTTAGAAATATTTTTTGTTAATAATTAAATAAAAATAATATCATAAAAGATCCTTAAAATTTACATGAAAATATCTGTGATTATTACTATTATTTTATTAATATTATATATAAAAAAATAATTATTGAAATAATTTTTATAAATGTTTTAATTTTTTTTTTTTTGAGAACATTGTAGATTTAAAGAGGTATTATGTAATTTAGTATTTAAAATAATATATTTATATGTAATAATCTATTAAAACTAATTATCACAATCCAAGTAATTATAACTTAAAATTAAATTCAAATATTGCAAATTGAATGCAACAAATATACAGTATATAAACACACTTATTGTTTATTAATATTATTGTTTATATACTTTTTTTTATATACAGCCGTTATTACAATTTAATTATATAGTATATAACACATTGAAAAAATATCAATAATTTTTAATATTATGTATGAATGAAATATATATTATATAAAAATATAGTTTAAGTATTTATTATGTAATATCCTTTATTGAATAACATATAATATGGTAAAAATGCCTTAAAAATAACAATAAAAACAATAGAAAAAATGAGTTTTCTTTTCAAATATAACGACTGTAACTATTTTTATGAGATTGAGTGTAATTTTGTTACGCTATATAAAAACAGTTACAAAATAGATGGAAATGGTTTTGATATAATTGAACTGAAATCAAAATGTTTTATTTGCAAATACTTTATTGAAATATTTACAATATTATAGAATACAAAAGAGTGATAACTTTACAATAAAAAATTAATTAAATTAAATATAAAATAAAATAAGTTTATTTACTACAATTAATTTAACTTTTATTAATCACTTTTGTGATATTTTAAAAATAAGTCTTAATTTATCTTTTATTCGTTTACTATTGTTTTAATAAATGGTTACAAATTACAATAAAAATAAATTTTGATATCTATTTAATAATTTAGTATATAATAAAACTTAATTGCATTGACAGAATTTTCAAAAATAACGTTTTAAGTTGTTTAATCATTAATTGCAAATTTGTATATTAATCTATACTTATAACGAATTTTAATTTTAAATAAAAATGATTTTCCTACTTTTCAATTACAGAGATAACTTTTAGTCAAAAAACCAGTTTCTCCTATTTTGGAACTGGATTTATATATAAATTATATATAATATAAATATCTTATAAATATTTTACTGCATAAATATAGATATAGTAAATTGTAATAAAAATTATTATATCGATTTATTGAGAATTACAGTTTATTCATAGGTTATGTTATTATTATTATTATTATTGATATTATACATGAGATTTTTAAAACACGATATATTATAAATCAAGCATAAAGTAATCATCATAAACGTATTTTTTTATACCTAAACGATATCTCAAAAATACTTAAATTGTTATAAATAATATTAAAATTTATAATAAAAACAAACTGAAAAAAATCATAAATTAAATTGGTTTTTACTGTTTTGGTGCAAATATTCATCAATAATATAAATTTAATAGTAATAGAAATACTTTAGTTTTTTAATTACGATTAAAAGTTGAAAATTGTATTTATTATAGAAAAAGAGATTATTTTCTAACTTAAGTACTGTTTATATATATATTTAAGTCGAGAACAAAATTGTTAATAAATTACTTTTACTTTTTTTTTAAAAAAATAGTTAAATAAAATTCATTTGAAAACGAGATATAAAAGGGATAAAGAATTTTTTGAATTGTAATGAATTGATTTCAAGAATTCTTTTCTTTTTAAAATAAAATTTCATTTATTTCTCTGAAATTTCAATATCAGATTAAATTTGATGATTATATATATATATATATATATATTAAAAATACAGTACAATTACATTAAATAAATATAATATAATAGAAAATGTAATATTTGTAATAAAATAAAAAAGTGTTTTTATATACAAATTAATGAGATATCTGTTAACATTTATAAAAAATAACTAAAAATAAAATTTATTTTTATTATTTATGTTGAATTTACAGTAAAATAGTGTTTTATAGTAACAAAAATTAAAGTATTTTTTTTAAATCTAAATTAGTTTTTGTTAAAATTCACAATATTTATCACTTAATCATATAATAAGAAATACATTAACTTGAGATCAGTAAACCAGTGAATTGTATGAAAGAGAGAGAGAGAGAGAGAGAGAGAGAGAGAGAGAGAGAGAGAAAGAGAGAGAATAAAATATGTTTACATTTTTGTATAAATTGTTACAACTCTTTAACTAAATTATACAAAAGTCTAAAAAAATAAAATAAAATAATAATATTTAGAGAATTATTTACTTTAAAAAATTATTTGTCTCCACTATATTCACTACAAATGTCTTACAATAAAATCCTTTTATTTTTTTGACTTTCAAATATAATTTGTTGTCATTTTTTTATTTAATATAATTTTAGTGATTTTCAATTTATTTCACTTTTTTCTCTACAATACTATTATTGATACTATTTTTAGTGTTATTTATTATTATTTTGTATAAAATTATTAATATTTCTCATGTTTAGATGTATGCATTAAATTTAATAAAATAAAACATAATTATAGAAACATTATTTTTAATTAAATGATACCTATGTGACTAATAAATTAATTAGTGATTTAAAATTATTATTATTATTAAACATAATATCTTGTTTGGCAATTATGGCAAACATCTTAATGTATTAAATGCATTAGCATTTCTGTTAATAATGTATTGAAAAATGAAAGTCTAGGCAAATAAATTTTGTTATAAAATATTTAACAACCAAATACATGACACATTTTATATAAATTTCATCAAAAATAATATATATATATTATGACAAAAATAGGAAATTTTTGCTATCGATTAATGATTAACTCAAACACAAAACACCAACAAATACAATAAAAAAACGTGAGTAAAGACCTCAGTATTGCTATTATATATTAAATAAGAAGTGCCATCACATACCAGGCCATCACATCAGACATCCCTTTCCCTAATCATTAGTGTGCCCTCTGATGATAACATGTTATGAGCCATACGTTTAAATAGTTAATGCAATCCCAATGTTTGCTTACATATTATTATTACAAACTAGTCTTTGTTTAATAGGTTTTGCTGATCGACACCAATACCTATGATAGTCAGTTCGTTTCCGTCGATAGCACCGTTAGTTTCTATCATTTAATTACACACATCATATATTTTTTTTCTTTCTCTCTTCTTTCTCAGAGAGAGAGAGARAGARAGARAGAGAGAGTGGACGTGCAATAAAACTACATTTTTAAAGTGTCGTGTCGTCTCCCAACACAACCAAATCAATTCAATAACAACCGACACATCTATTTATTATTAATATTATAAATAATATTAAAAATTTTCAATTTACTCTCAACTTCATATTACATATGCACATCATATATATTTGAGTTGACATTTAATTTAAAGTTACTTTTTTAAAGATAAATATTAAACATTTTGAAAGAAAGAAATGAGAAAAAATATGTAACAGAAAAGACATGTAAAATGCATTAATTTATAGACATATTTAAGTCAATGTATAGTATTTTGCATAAATGCATAATTGAAGGGCAATTGAATTATCAGTTTTAATGGGAAAATACTTTTCATTTATTAATGATTTACTTGATTAGCATTTTTGTTGAAACGACTTTTCAGTATTATATAAGAGTCGTTTAAATATTTATATTATTTGTTAAATAAAATACAAAAAAGGATTATCAATGAACTGTATCTAAATTAACATTTTCTTAAATAGTAGTTTATATACAAACATACTTTTTTGTTAAAAATAAACTAAGAAAATACAAAATAATTTATATGTATATTTAAATACCGAAAGTTTCTTTTATAGTACAATTGTAAATTATTTTGTTAGTAGTAATAAATTAAATATATACAATGTTATACACTGTGTGTACAATACATATTTATACAATAATAATAAATTCAAATAAACTAACACAAATATGATTATTTCAATACTATTATAATAAATTTATGTAACTAATAAAATCATTATAAATAAAATCGTTAAGTTTTCTATAAAATATCATCAATTTAAACAAAAACAAAACTCACTTTTATTTTACTTATATTATAATATAAACTCTGTTTATAAATTTTAATGCTGTGTTTGTGATATTTAGAGTTTATTGTAGTCTAAAATATTTTTTCTTATAAAATATTTTGTTTGAAATATGAAAATTGAATTTTATTTTTTATTGATTTTTTATCTGATGTGACTTTAATCTTAATTCATAAAAAACTTAAACCTTATAAATATATTGCTTTCTTTTATTTAATGTTTTGTTGTTATATAAACTCATGAATTAAGACCAAATATTTACTGAAAATATTTTATATATACATATACAGTATATACTGTATGTTTTTATTCAATATAACTAATAAGACGTGTTTGTTAACAAAAAATTTATTTATAAAATTCAAGATATAAAAAATTATGTTATATATTATTTAATGGGAAATATTGAAATTTTGAATTTATTTATACATCTCATTGAGTCTATTCCATACAAATAAGAAAAGTTATTATATTATTTAAATATATATTTTTTATTAATATTATTTAAAGTTATTTTTTGTATAGTGGTGATTGAAAAATAGCTTAAAATAGTAATTGTAACAAATTGCAAAATTCATGTTTCATTTAAAATTGTAAAATTAAAATATTTCAAATAAATTTGATTATTTAAATAAATTATACAATTTATTAATTTGAAACAATTGACAGGTTGTGGCTGTGATATCCGTGTTTTTCATATGTGTCTCAATATTTTCATTTTGTTTAAAAACTCATCCAAATATGCGAGTGCCGAACATACAGAACCGGACCGTTTACACCCACCTAAACACCACTACCTGGACATTGGATAAGTACAAGACTGACGCCCATAAGGCCTTCTACTATATCGAGAGCATATGCAACGCCTGGTTCTCGTTTGAGATCGCCATGAGATTTGTGGTATGAATTTTGCAATATTTACAATTACACTCATAATTATCAGTTTTACAAACTATATTGTGATATACACTATATAAAAGTTATAATTTATATATTATGCGAGTTTACTAATTGATGAGTAGAGAAATACTACATAAAAGTTGTACTTTTTTTTGAATAGTAGTCATATTAATTATGTTATATATAATTTATTTTCAAATTAATTTATATTTTCAAACAAAATTATTTTGTTAAATACTTAATTCCGTATTATTTAATTAATTAATTAATTAACTAATTGTTATTATTAAAATATGTAATCGTTTAATTTGAACATTTAAGTTGACATAAATTACATAAATAAACATAATAAAATTTAATGTAAATTATAAATTTTAATTTGTTTAAATTAATTTACTTTGTTTGAGGATCTAGATATGATATCTATACTCATCAATTACTAACTCATAGTGTATCATAATTAAAAATTTATTTTAATTAATTTACTGTACATTGTATAAATATTTGAAAAATTATATGGTTTTCCTAAATTTCAAAAATATGTACTTTTATGTGTAGTTTATCACTAGATTTTGACACCAAATTTTATGCTTCAATTTAGTTTGAAATAAGTTTAATTTAAAAATTACATTAATAATAATAATAATAATTGTTTTAAGAGATTGTCATTCAAATATTTCATGGCGTGATTTTGAATAAAATTTTGTATACAAATGTATTTTATTTTGAATTGTATCTATTTTTTTACTATTTTAAACATGAATTCTTTCATACAATTTATGTCAAAAAATGATAATACATTATAAAGAATCTAAATTTTTGATACATATCCAGGATTATAGTTACACATAACTATAGATGAAAAACGCCTTAAAGTATCAAAAAAAATTTATATATATCTTTTGATATTTATATAGATATAAATATTTATAGCATAAATCTATTTCTAAATAACTTTTATGAAGTATTTGATTTTAAAAATCTAAATTTTAAGTTTATTTTTTTGTCAATTAATACAATAATTTTTTTATACTATTGATATTTAGTGTTGACTATTTATTTAATCAAATATTTTATTAATATTAATAATAAATATTATAAATAATAAACATATTAGTAACAATTWATTTTTTGAATGACCATAAATGTGTATACAGTTAAATATTATTGCATATATCATACATTATATTTTTTAATTTAATTTTTATTAATTTAGTTTTAAATAAAGTTTTCAACGTTTAAGACGTTTGTCAAATATTTTTAATAATAAATTTTATATATTATATATAAATTATTTACATATTTTATTATAACAAGTAATTATATTATACTTTTAAACCACTTATAAATATTTTTAAGAAATATAAACTAAATGGTAAAACGGTTTTATTGATTATGAATAGCAAACAATACTCATGTATATTATAGTAAAATAGTTTTTAAAATTTTATTGATTACACAATTGAAAGATAAAAGTATCAAATAGATGTATAGTASTGTATGTACAGTGCATATAGTATATACAGTATATGTGTCAGTGAATCAAACAAATGGATACCGGTGTGAATGAAACACCAGTTCTATATGTTTGATATGTTTTTGAATTTCAACACAAATACTAGTGTTATTTCCCTAAAGTTTGTTAACATCTCTCAGATAAATCACTAGAGATCCTGTTTATCACATCAACTAAATAAAGATTCGTTTATTTTATTTTATTTTTGTTGGCCTTTATTCAAGATTTGACCAAAAAACTAACTACAAATTTTTGCATTCATTTGTTACAAAACATTAGTAAATAGTGTATAACATAAAAAATTATATAAGATTATATAATATAACTAATACCATATATAAAATATATTATATACTCTAAACGGCAAATACAGTGTAATTTCAAACAAACATAAAGAAAGGTAATAATAATCACATCATTTATATTTGCAACTCAAGAATCACACACTTGTTTTGTGGAGAAATAGAAAAAAATAATAATATATTCTTAGATTAATATCATAACAAGCCATACATTTGCTGATTATTGTTACACAAACACATACACACACACACACACACACACACACACACACACACACACACACACACACACACACACACACACACACATACATACATACATACATAGAAAAACACAATTGAATTGTTCATTCACTTTGTAAGTCAATAACTAATTTATTCTTTTCTAACCAAATGATGTGTAAATGTCTGTCCATTTTAGGTGAGTCCGAGTAAATTGGATTTTGTAAGGGATATGATAAACATTATAGACTTCATAGCAACGATGTCTTTCTACTCTGATATGCTTCTTCAACGATTAACGGCTGACATCGAAAATGCCGATATACTCGACTTTTTTAGTATAATCCGTATATTAAGACTCTTTAAGCTGACCCGACACTCCAGAGGACTCAAGATATTGGTTCATACGTTCAAAGCGAGCGCTAAAGAGTTGTTTTTGTTAGTATTTTTTCTGGTGTTGGGTATTGTCATCTTCGCTAGTCTTGTCTATTATGCCGAACGACTTCAGGCCAACCCTAGGAATGACTTCAAAAGTATTCCGGAGGGCTTGTGGTGGGCTATGATTACTATGACTACTGTTGGTTATGGTATTAAAAAAGTTATATTTTTTTATTAGATATGACTTATTTAATAATAATATTGTCAATGAAATGATTGATTGCAAACTACTCTATCCCTATGAACAGGTGATATGGTTCCCCGAACCTATGCAGGAATGCTTGTGGGTGCTCTCTGTGCTTTGGCCGGTGTGCTCACAATAGCCCTACCGGTGCCTGTTATCGTATCAAACTTTACAATGTTTTACTCACACACTCAGGCCCGCGAAAAGCTGCCCCGACAGAGAAGGCGGGTGTGTAATGTACCCGAAGAGAGAGATCCACTCAATGATAATAAAAATACAAATAGCGGACCATTTCAAACAAATAGACGCACCAATGCCGTCAAACTTTCATTTGGTATGATATTTGCATTTTTTAATTTATATTTTCTAGAAACTGTTAGTTAAATATATTATAGATATAAAATGATTTAAATATTAAATTTATATACAACAAAGACAATTAAGTTTTAAATTAAATTTTAATTTGCTTTTAAAAAATTATTTTTTTTTTGAGTAGAATTAATTCATTTCTACTTTACAATATTATGTAATACTTTTTTATTTTATTTATAATATAACTTATTGTATAATTTATTATATTAAACCTTATAAATAATATACTGATATACAGTCCTATATACAGTATATATATATATATAAAAAATCTGGTACAAAATAGTTGGCACTTGTTTTATAGTCAAAAGTGTATTAAGAAATTGACCAATTGCTCAATAAAAATTTTTATGCAACTATTGTAATAGAATATTGTAAAATAAATTATATAAAAATATACCAAGTTACATTTTAGATATGAAAGTTTTTAAATTTCTGGATAATTTATGGTCAAACAAAATATTTATTTAAAAATTGCCAAAACACGTATCGAATGAATTTTAATARTGTATAAAATTGTTTGATTAGATCTATTATATGTCATATTATTTTTGAGATATAGCACCTCCCAGTTCTCATATAACTGAACTGTAATAGAAAAAAGTTTTTATATCAAAACAATTTGTCAGAAAATCGATAGTTGTATATAAAAAAATTTCATTGAGCTAGGTCAATTTCTTAACACACTTTTGRCTATAAAACAAGTRCCAACTATTTTGTCCAGATTGTAGATACAGTAGCTTTTATCTGATATCACAATCACGTTTGGAAAGTTGATAAAAAAAGTAAAGTCAATTTACTTGTGAAATAAAAATTGACAAAAAACATAATCAAAAAATTTTATTTTTCAATCTATTAAACTATTTATTTTATTGATCATCTAAACTCTTTATATACATTACTGTATAATTTTGTTGTTATTATTTTGAAAACTCTGAAATGTTAACCAAGAAATGGCAAATTAAAGGCCAATAGAGTCTTATTTAACTTTCACTTTATAATACAACTTATAATAATAATAACAATTATGTCGAAAAAGGCATTTTCGTTATTTAGGTACAAAAGTTTTTGGGTTAATATATTTGTATAATATATATACAACAGAAACTTGTGAATTATAATCAATAATAAGTGATGCCATTAAATGTCTAACATTTTGCCGATAGGCTCGTAGGCTTAGACACTTAAATAACAACTGTATAAAAACTGGTAAATTATATATATACTATATATAAATTATATTTCATTATATTATACAGTATATCTTGCATTAATAATTAATAATATTAAATTTATTTGATATTTTCATCATTTGTTACTAACTATGGGTTAATTGCAAAAAAATATTAAATAAATCCCTTTGAGTTCATATAAGTTAGAGACAATTAATAGTGTTTTATATACAATATATGAAATGTTATCAATTATTAGTTGTCAAAAGTCATCTTTTTTAGGTCATTATTGATCTTACGTTTGATATAAATTCAAGTCAATTGTATTGTATTAATAACATTATTATTTTAATGTCAAATTGTTTGACGTATAGGCTCACCAAACGAGAAAAGTTATCAAATCAATGCCGTCCCCAATGTTAGCCCAAACGCTAAATGCATTGAAAGCACAACCACTACAACTAACACAACCACAACTGCACCGACAGTCAGCACAACAGTGGCCACCAATCCTAAAGACAAATCGCCGCAACAAACTATAACAACCACTACAGTACACACTAACAGCCAACCAATCAGTGATACAAATACCGGAAGTGCATCGATAATCAACACGAGTAATAGCTGTTTGTGCTCCGCTACCCATACATCCACCAGCAGTGCCATCAAAGCAGCCAATACTACAGTGACAGTGGACGCTAAAACCGGTACTAATCCACAGGTGCACACTGTTGTCACATCCACTTCTGTTGTGACCACCACTCCAGTTATGACAACCACTCCTGTTGTGACCACTACTGCAGTTATGACAACCACTCCCGTTGTAACCCTTAATTCTGATGTGATTACCAGTACTCCAGTGGTGACAACTGATCAGACAATACATTCTTCCAGTGACGACACGTCGTCTTCACAGAAAAAGCCTTCGTCGCGAAAATCTTCGCGAAAATCTTCGCGAACCAGCGCTAACTCGACAACAATTTGGCTTTAAATTAGATTTTTACACACAGTTTGACTTAATATGTAATAAAATTAGTGACAATTAATCAATTGTTTGTATTATTATCGATAGCTTTTAATAGCACTTAGGAAGGTATGTATGGTATGGTCTATAAGTGGAAAGTTTATTATAATTGACTTCATCACCACTTACTGACCAAATCTAACATTTAGATGCAAAACAATTACATTTAAAATTTAATTGTTATTATTATTCTATTAAATATAAAAATTTGATAAATAATTTTATGGATTTTTTGACAAAAAATTGAAACATATTTTTTCATATAACAAATATAAACCAAAATGACAAAAATGTTTAACCCGTCGATCATATTATGAATTATATATAAGATTATATACAGTATATATCATATATAAATTAATAGATTTATTGTTGAAAACAATGCTCAAAGTTTACTATACATTATATAATATATTTATAAATATATTGGATATGTCTGTGAATATATAAATGTTTGTTTAATACAGAGCTTCTGTATGTGTCCTTTAATGTCATCTTCAGCAGCAAAGGTCATACAGAGTACAGGAATGGATGGAAAAACCATTCATCACTACAGACATCACTTTCAACATCATCTTTGACTTTAATAATATTAATATTATTATTATTATACTTATCTCTCATCGTTTGCTGCAACCATTTCTTATATATAAATATATATAATATATATGTATATATATATTTCAATGCATTTTCATCGATCAATACAAGAAGTGCTTCAAATACTATATAACTGTGCGACGAAAAGCCGTGTCTCCGATAATAGGCATCGGTGTCTGTCTAACAGTTTATTGAATATTTTTTAAAATACTTAAACAAAACATAATATAAATGTTTAACTTATAGAAATATTCATCTATTATATTAATATAAATGATATTAATATACATGATATGATATTATAATATAAGATTATAAAAATGAAATCAAAATAAATAATTACACCTAAAACATGCTATTTAAATACATACAAATATCTGTATTTATGTCTATCGATTATATTAATAATAATTTTTAAAATCAAATATTAATTTATTTATAAACTAATCATTTTAACAAATTGTTACAAAAAATATATATAAACTGTTTTGTATAAATAAATAAAACAATTGTTAGTTAATATAAATTTTACAATTATTTATATTTTAATTATATTTAAACTAATAAAATATTGTTATTTTATCTTAAATTGATTATTTATATAATATTAAATTAATTTCTAAATTTTACATATTAAGATAAATAAATTTATTATTTTTATTAATCTAACATTTATTATTATAAATTATCATTTGAAAATTTGATAGATTTAGTGTCAAAATATAATCTCATTATATTTTTAAATAATATACAACAAATTGTTTAATAAATATAATATTTACTGTATAGACAGTACAAAATTATTAAATAATAACTATTATTCTTAAATGTTAAATACAATTTGAATATATTGTAATGTATTAGCAGTTAAAATGAGAGCTAATTTATATTACAATTTTTTATCACTTTTTTCTATTACATCAAAAATTCAATACAAATTTTATTATAAATACAAATAATTTATAATTTGCCGCAAACTATAACTCATTTTCGGCTTTTTCTAAGAGTTAACTCATTAAATATGTAAAACACTATTTTGGTTAATAGTCTTACATTACATGTGTGCTAATAATAATAATAATAATAATAATAATAATAATGAGTTTTAAAGATAAAAAATCAAATAAATATCTTATTTAAGGTTTAGTGGCGAAAAAATTTCCAACTTAATTTAACTGACACTATAAAATGTATATTAAACTTTAACTAAATTTAAATATTTTATGAAAATAATTTGCTATTGATGTTTAATTTAACATTGAATTTAATAGTAATTAATAGTGATTAGTAATGTATGAATTTTTTCTAAAACAATTATTTTTTTAAATATATATATATAGTTATTTCAATAAAATGTTATGACTATCCGTTATTAAATCATACATTAGATTTAAAAATATAATTGAAAAATCGAGAATATTTATTTTCATAAAAACAAAATATTTTGTTAATGCAAATCATATTCAATTAATTAAAATTTAACTCAACAACTAAAATAACTTTTTCTTTTTTAAATAAAATCTATTAATAAGATTATAATTGAAAAAAACTTTAAATTTAATAGATTTTTTGAGTATTAAAAAGAAAACTTAAAAAAATAAAATTATTTTAAACTAATATAATCTCAAGTGATTATTTAATTCAATTTAATGTTAATTAATATTATATTATATTAATATATAAAAAATTATTCASTAATTATTTTTCATTTTTCTAGTAATTATAATCGCAATTGTAAAATACATTTATCATAACTAAACTATCTATAGGCGGTGGCAGGAAAAGCTTATTTTTTAAACTAATATTTTACGCTATTATTTGCTAAATTTACACATTATAAATTATATATTAATTAGTAATAGTTTATATGTGCATGATCATATTTTCTATAAGTTTTTTATAATGTTTAATAAACTACTGTTATCTATTATTTAATTAAGCTTTTCCTGCCAACACATATACATTAGTGATTATAATTAATATTGAGTTCATTGATGGAGTTTATCACATAAATGATTGCTTATTTAATATTTATATAACAATCTCATGTACTAAATATTTATTGATAATTATCACTGAATTGAGTTAAACATATTCCTCCAAAACAAAAAATCAGTCGTCTTTGTGGTAACAGTGCTATTGAAGCAAAAGTTTTCTTTTGATATCTATATTAACAATTGTTCACAAATTTATTGGTGATAGTGATAGCAATATACTGTATTATAACAGCTATGATTGACATATTATATATTACTTGTTTACTACTGTACAGTAATATTCACTACTCTATTAAAAACACATAGAAATGATTATTAAGTTTTAATTCATGAAAACTTTCTGTTTAATTACTTTTCATTTATTGTTACTATTCTATAGATTAAAGCGTTTAGTTTTATAAATATTCAAAACATCGGAACATATACAGAGAGAGAGAGAGAGAGAGAGAGAGAGAGAGAGAGAGAGAGAGAGAGAGAGAGAGAGAGAGAGAGAGAGAGAGATAGAGAGAGAGAAAGAGAGAGAGAGAGAGAGAGAGAGAGGTGTMTTAAATATTAGATCCTATTTGAGAGYCAATTAAGAATAGACGCCAATTCTATACAAATAATATATTTCCTTTAATTGAAACCCAAACACCCAAACGGATCCATTAGATGTTGAAGAAGACATATTTGGACAATCGAGTGGCCATCAAATTCATATAAAATGTACCATTAGTTTGGCGATCGGCTAATCATTCAATAGTTGTTATAAGAGACGAGTGTTTGAATCTTTTAGAAGACTTCAAATTGTCGTTTCATTGGTTATTCTGTTACAATATGTTTAAGTGATAGCAAACAATGTTTATTACAATTTTTACTAATGAATGAATTATTAAAATAAATTTTTTAGAAACAAAATGGTATTTATTTAAGATTTGTTTAAATATACATTTATTGGTTAACATAAATGGAAAATGTTTTAATATTTATAAGTATAACATCACTATTATTCAATTCACAAAATTTTTTAGTTTCATTTAATATTTGGCATAATATTATAATTTACTAAATCAATAATTTAAAGATACATTCAACTAAAAATGCCGGATAAGGCTCTTAAAGAGCAAGTAATTGTATAATTCAATTAAAATAATTAAGAAAATAAATCTTAAATGACAACAAAAAATACTTTTTTATCAATTATTTAAATAATGAGAATGAAAATTAAAAACTAATGCCAAAATCAATACCAATCTGTTTGATTCAAAAATTGAGAAATTGATTAATATATCAAACAATTGGTTATGATTTAAGCGGATCTTATAGTTATAAACAATAGTGAGCCCTATCGTCGTCGATCTCTATTGAAATCTCCTCTTTGCTGTCTCTTAGCTGTTGGTCCATCGTTGTGATCGTCAAATTTACGTTTAATAGCTCCTCCATTCATACCGCCTCCTCTATGCATTCTACCTGCACCACCACCACCGCCTCCACGACCACCTCCGCCACCATAACGACGTCTCCTATCTTTTCCCATATACCTCGACTGTTGCATTAAGTCATAGAGTTTAGGCTCAACTGTTTGTTGCGCTTCTCTTAAAACTTCAATCAACTCTTTAGCCTGTTTTGCATTTTCTGATGTAAAGAATGTATAAGCCGTTCCCTTTCGATCTCTACGACCAGTTCGACCAATTCGATGAACATAATCCTCACCAGAATTTGGGTAATCATAATTGATTACATACTTTATGTCATCCACATCTGTAGCGGCAGTCATACAGTTAGTATCATTCATATTATAATTAAATTGAGCTTAAAATACAATCAATTATTAATTATAAAACAATTTTCAATTGTTAGCTAATTAGCCTAAAAAAGTAATACAAATAAAAACTAATAATAATGACCAATAAATCTTACAAAAAATAGTTTTGAGAGCCATTAACTAATACCACTTATAACATAATAATTAATTCACAGTATTTTACCGATCATTTCAATTGAAAGGCAGGTTTTGAGTGCATTGGTTCGCATCCAGGCATGAGTTATGTTGACATTTGAGTAGTCATCACAAGTTCAGGTCCTCTCAATTTTTCACTGCTGGTCAGTGTTGGAGGACATGACGTGTGGACAGATAGTAGAGGCACCACAATAATAGAGCCAAAATATACAGTAGTATATCATTTTTCGACTCCATTAATATCTTCAGTGCCTCTGTTTAAGGATAAAAACAAAAGAAATAACAGTTAATACACATCAGCACAGGTATCATAAGAGCGCCATTGCGTTAACTGTATATCATATTATCCTAATTTTTACATTTCATGCCATTTTATTACATTTATAAACAGTCCAATGAATTGCAATTTACTTCATTATCAATCATAATATTAAAATCACAATTCAGGACATCTATTATGATGACTGTCAGTCACCGGTTTGAATGATCCGGTGATATAACAACATGTATGTCATACAAACCCAGATGCGATTGACTCTCATTTCAATTTGAGTCTTCAGTTCTTACAATGCAATCAAAATACATCAAAACAGATCACTTACCCAATCCACGTGCGGCCACATCTGTGGCAACCAGTATTGGTTTGCGACCAGATTTGAAGTCTACCAATAAAAAAGACAATACATTAGTTACATATGTTGTTAGTTATAGAAAATGGTTAATAAATACCTTTGAGAACCCAATCCCTTTCGAATTGTGGTTTATCCCCGTGAATACAGGCCGATGGCCAACCACCGCGAGTCAGTTCGCCGTCCAACTCATTTACCTTACGTTTTGTTTCAGCAAAAATTATAGTCTTGTTGTCGCGAGAATCGGGTCTTATATTCTTTAATAATTCAAAGAGTTTGCTCTTTTTGTCAAACTCTTCGCATACTTCCACGTGTTGTTTAATATTCTTATTGGCAGACAATTCGGTTCCGCCGACATTGATCTGAATGTAGTCATTCATGTACTGCGTGGCCAACTCACGCACCTCTTTAGGCCACGTGGCCGACCACATCAGCGTTTGTCGTTCGCGCGGTAAATAAGATAGAATTCTCTTGAGTTGCGGTTCAAAACCCATGTCAAGCATACGGTCGGCTTCATCGAGGACTAAGTAATTCACTTCTCGGATATCAAGCGCACGACTCTCAAGAAAATCATTCAGACGACCGGGCGTTGCAATTATGATTTGAGGATTCATTTCTCGCAATTGTCTCAATTGTGGTCCTCGAGAGGCACCGCCATAAAGACAGACATTGTTAGCAAACCTATATCGACGAACCACTTCTTGTATTTGTTGAGCCAATTCACGTGTCGGCGCCAATATCAGACATTTCGGTAACTTTTGCGGCCGCTCTCTCATTATCTTAATAAACGCTGGCATCACATAACACAACGTCTTACCGGATCCGGTCTGCGCCACACCGACTAAATCTCGACCCGTCAGTGCTATCGGCCACGACTGGCACTGGATTGGTGTCGGAGAAGTAAAGCTATCGGCAGCCAATGCTTCGGCTATACGTTGTGGCCATTTGTATGACTCCATTGACATTATAGGAAGTGGTGCTTCTCTACCGTGGACTGTGATGTCATACTTCCTCCAGAACTCTTTGGCGTCAATCTTGGGATCGACGTATAGATTCAGACCATTAGTGCCGTTCAAACCGTTCACTAAGCCGTACGGCGTATGGTCTGAATTGTTGGTCTCAGTTAACGTCGTCTGAGATGTATAACCATTTGTGTATCCATTCGTATGATTGTATGTTTCGTAAGACATAATCGTAGACTGTTTTGGATCAGTTCAGGTGATTATCAATCAATAGATTTTGAATCAAAATATCAAACAATTAAATGAAATGTGATTTCAATTCAATTAAACGTTTCGTAAAAAATGGGAAAAAACATGAATTCAATACTAAACTCAATACTCAAATAATTCAATGACAACCCTATAGACTATAGGCTATAGTAATGAACACTAACTGTAATATTAAGCAAAGCATAAGTAAATGTATTGTAAATCGGATTGTCCTTCAAATGTATTACTCAAATGTAATGAACATCCGTTTCCATACATCTATGACATCACATCCAAGAGAGCACTCATTATATATACAATTAATTAATACATTTTGAATATAATATTTCCATTAAATTAATTTAAAAATTACTTGTTTTTTGTTAAAATTTATATTAAATTATTAAATAATTTTATCATTAAAAAGATGATAGTGTCATATAAGTYCAGTTAATCACGTATTTTATGACTATATAGTATAAAGTAAAGTATTATAAATTTTATGCTTTACTGTACTTTTATATGACATTTAATAAAAGCTGATGTAAACAACAAAATATATAATAAAAAGGATATAATATTATACTTATTTAGAATAGTTTTTTAGACCTTTTTTATAAACTAATAAGATTTTTATATTACTAGTAGTGACCTATAGTATCAATAAATAAACTTTTTTAAAGTTATAAAATCAATATTATATAATATTATGATATAAAATGTATAAATAATCAATTAAAGTATACTAAAGTGATAAATGAGTTAATAAATGGTTAAATGTTAACAATTAATTAAATTATTATAAATTAATATTATATTTATATTTTAAATAATAATAATCACATGTTTTTCAATTACTGTTCATAAATAATGTGACAAATAGTTACATATTTTGCGATAACTTTTATACAAACATATCATCGAATCGCTGACACGTTTGGTAATAGTATTAGTGAACGATATTGTTATGTAAATGATATCAAAGTTAAAGTTATCATCAATTTTGTGGTCAACTTTCAGATTCAAACAACACATCCAAAGACATTCAAAGACATTGACTAACGTTTGTTGGCCACCAATGGATGAAATAATTACTGAAATCAATGCCAATCACATCCAGATATCGAACAAAATTACCGATTTAGAGGCCAAGATTGCGGCCAAAGAAGCGGATAATGTATTGAAACCACAGAAACAGGTCATCACTGAAGAACAGATCCAACGAGAGAGACAACGACTGATCAATGAAAACAATGGTTTGAAAGAAGAAGTGCAACGATTGGTCACAGAATTAAATGAATTGGARGCCAAACGCGATCCCAATTTAACAGATGTTTTTAAAACATCAAACACTAACTCAACAAATAATTCAGAGATCAATCAAACGACTGTATCAACCAATGAGACAACGACTACAAAGACAAGTGATGATCAAAAACAACCGCAAAAGTCGGAGAAGAAACCGAAGAAAGAGCCAAAAACTAATGCAAACAAACCTAAGGAGTCATCCGATGATAATAAACCTCTTGACGTTTCGAGACTTGATCTAAGAGTTGGCCGTATATTAACCGCAAAAAAACATCCCGACGCCGATGCGCTATATCTGGAAGAGATTGATTGCGGTGAGGAAAAGCCTCGAACAGTTGTGTCCGGTTTAGTACGTTTCGTGCCATTAGAAGAAATGCAGAACCGATTGGTAATAGTCTTATGTAATCTTAAACCGGCAAAAATGCGTGGAATCACTTCCGAAGCTATGGTAATGTGTGCCTCGACTCCCGAAGCCGTAGAAATATTGTCTCCTCCCGAAGGATCGGTTCCGGGAGATCGTGTGGTCTTTGATAAATATCCCGGTATTTAATGCTTTTTAAGTTTGTTTAACATTTGTTTAACTTTTATTTAATGATATCTTAAGGAACACCTGATTCACAATTAAATCCGAAAAAGAAAATCTGGGAACAGATCGCACCCGACTTGAAGACCAACTCTGAATGTGTGGCCACTTATAAGGACGAACCGTTCAAAATTGAGTCCAAAGGTTTAATTACTTCCAAATCGTTGGCCAACGTAGCGGTCAAATAATATCTACAGTTTGTATGTTTTAGTTTAAATAAATATAATTCACCAAAAAATCAACTCAAAACAAACTTTTATTTATATATATTCAATATAAACAAAATTATTAATAATTAAATTAAATACAAATTTTACTAAATTTCTTATTAAAACGATTAGAAATAATGAGATTGAAAAATAGTGATTGATGTGAATGTAATTGAATTGAATTTAATGGCACAGAATTTCAATAAAAAATTTTAGATTAAAATAAAGTTAAGAAAAAAGTTAAATAAGATAACTGGTAATAGAAATTGTTATAGTTTTACATTTTATTTAAAATGAAATCAGTTTTAGAAACTAATTTCAAATCAATTTACAATATTTAATACTTTTATATAAGTAACATAAAATTTGAATAGTTGTTAAAAAATTTTAAAAAACATTTCGACAAAAAATATTACGATATCTATATTGTTAATAAGTTAATTAAATAAATTTTAAATATTATGATAATATAAATTTATATATATATATACAAATTATGCCAATTAAAAGTTTATATTTGAGTAATATCAATTACTGTCAACTTTAAGCAAGGTAACTTAGTATAAAGTTACAATATATTAGGTAAGTTATATACAGTACCTTGCTAAAGCATTACATAATACTCAAATTTAAACTTTTAAGTGGCATAAACTGTATGTATTAAGCATCACATCGTTTGAATGCAAAAAGCATTTATCAAATATTAGGCACATATTTTCACTTTCATAAAACACATCTAAATTATTACTGATCTCATTACTAATTGAATCTCAATAATAGCGCGGAATGTTAAACATAAAACTGATGCAAATAATAATTGTTTGCATATTTAAAAATTGGCTAAATATATATACAATACTTTTAAAAAATGTTTTTTTTTGTATAATAAGTAGTGAAAAAGAAAGCTTTAAATGAAAACAATAAATTTACCATAAGATTGAGATAATATAAACTATATGCTTATAGTGTATAATAATTCAATGTTAATATTATGGTAGTTTTAATATTTCTATAATTTATAACAAAAAAATATTTATAATTCAATTTTTAGATATTTAAAAAAATTAATTCTGATTATTATTTTTTAGTACAATTATATTTAACTACAAATAATCTTTTTTAGGTATAACCTTTTTGCCGGTCCATAAATTATTATGTATAATGAATGCATCTATAGTTACGCTAAGATGTTTGGTTTGAATTGTGGCAAAACTTTTACTTCCAGAGTTATATCTAAATTTCATAATAATAACAAATAAATAAAACAATTAACATTTTTTTAATTAAAAACATTTGTTTACTAAATCTTTATAAAATATATTAATTAATGACTAACTTATAAAATTTATCGATGACTTCATTTGTGACAATTTTAGGACCCGTACCATAAAGTTTAATGACTTCTTCCCGATCGGGATTATAGGTATAAACTGCTCTAAACTGAAGGCCCGCATTTCGAAATAATATCAAATAGTGTTTGCTGTCCGACGAGTTAATACTCTATTTATTAATAAAACAAAATAATTAAAACAATTATTTAAATTAATATATCGATTCATACCTCTGACACTTTCCTTTTGGTCTCAGCATTGACAGCACCGGCCAACACAACATTGATTGCATTTAATATCAAAGTTTTATTAGACTTCTGACTGGGTTTGACAAACAGTTTAGGGCCCGTGTATTCAGCGTATACAGAGCCGGCATCAGACGCTCCATCACTAGGAGGACCCCTAAATCTGGAGAACATATATGGAGGAACATTTGAGCCATTTGTGGGCGAAGACACAAATGCAGAACTCTTTGCAGACATGGCTGAGTCTGGTCGAGACATATTGTTGTGGGAAGACATGAGAATACACGCGTCGGTGTCATCGACAACACGTGATTTGTTGCAGTCGAGTGATGTGTAATCTTGAATGTTAGTGGCGGACACATGCAGTGACTTTGGACGTGGCTTTTGGAAAAGCCTTTGTCGCGGCGGTCTATTTAATACTAAAGTACTATTACTGCGAACCGAATCCTTGGATGACACGCCTCCGCCGTTCTTTTCTGCTTCTTCTGTGGCCTTTCGTTGTCTATATTGTTCGAGAATGAACTGTCTTTTTATGCGTTCTTCTTCTCTCTTTCTCTCAGAGTTTTCCAATCGTATTCTCTCGTCTTCTCGCTTTTTGGCCATATTTTGTTCCCTCTTAGCTCTATCTGATTCTTGTTGTTCTCTTCTTTTAAGTGACTGCAACATAATTGCCTCTTTCTTTTTGACCATTTCTTGTTCACTGCTTAGGTCCTGACGGACTAAGTCTGGGCCGATAACAAAGCCAACTCCTGGTGACACTGAATTGACACTCGACTGTTGGTGTTTTGGTTGTACTGAAGTCGAAACATTTTGATCATCACTTGTCTGTCCATTGACCGAATTGTTGACTGTTTGGCCGTTGGCTTCAAAGATAGTATTGTTTGTTGATTTAAGTTCTCGTCTAATTTGTTGCTGTTGTTTGACATGTTTTGGTTTGAGTCCCGGTTTAGCCGGCTTTGGCTTTTGAGTGTCGCTATCAAATGATATGAAAAACGCTTCTTTAGGATTAAAGGCATTATCGCCGGCCAATGAATCAGTTTCTTTTGCAGTCGAATTACTCGATGAACTCTTATTACTTTTATCGTAGTTATTGAAGCCTTCATCTGAGTACTCACTGGTCACTGAACGAGCCGGTGATGTGTGTTGTAAAAAGTCAGGCGATTTGTTTCGTTTACTTTGTTTATTCACACGAAAGGTTTGGCCAATCATTGGTTTTGGAGCAGAGGCTTGGGTTAAGAAAACATTTTGTTGTTGTTGTTGTTGTTGTACAAACTCATCCAACATTTGTTGTGAAGATATAGAAGAAACAGATGAAACACTTATGGGCACTGATGTCATGGGAACTGTTGTCGAGTTCATATAAAATCCTGTATTATGTTGTTGTAAGGTATTTGTTGTCGGAATATAATATGTTTGTGATGTCGAGTACGGTTGTATCGGGTTTGGCATATTCTGGTGATTCAACATCTGGCTATTCATTACTTGAATTTGTTGATTCATATATTCCGGTGCAATCATCTGATGGTTAACCATATGTGGTGTATGTAACTGACGATTCATCTGATCTGAGTTCATCATATGATTCTGATTCTGAAGCATCTGATTGTGATTAACCATTTGCTGACTCATAAAGTCTTGTTGTGTTAATATATGATGATTTTGTAGCACATTTGAAGGCATTGGTTGATTAGGCACCTCTTGACTACCATTTTTATGAACAACCCTAAGAAAGGCCTCTTTGCCGATATTTTGTCGACTATTTTTCCATTCTTCTTCAGCGGTCAGTCTTTCGTGTTCAATCTTTCGGCGCTTCTCTTCTAATTTGAGTCGTATGTTATGAACCTGTGATGCGATGTCAGAGTCACATGAGTTAGTCTTAGTGGGCGAATCAGGAATAGACTGGACTTCATTTTCATCTAACAACGAATCTATTGAATCACTTTTATTGAGTTGTTGTAAGTTTTGTCTTGAATTATATGTATCTAAAAGACTTTTATATTCACTATTGTTATCGTTTTCCTTCAAATAAAATGGTTGGTCACCACTAACTGACATATTTTCAACCGAATTATTAGATAAATTAGTTTTTCTAAATGTATTATTGTTTGAAGTGTTTTGTATGGATTTATTAGTCACAGATGGCAAACAGCTATTACTATTGTTATTCATTGTTTTATCACTTTTATTCATATAAGCAATATTAATGATCGGTTCCGTGTCTGGAGAAGATGGTAAGTGTTTTGAATTTAATTTGTTAAATGTACTCGTATTCACTTTGTTGGTATCAGATTGTTGTTGTTGTTGTTGTTGTAGCGGTAGTGGCGGAGAATCTGTTCCCAACACTATAGACGACTGCATTAAATTTTGTTGGCTTTTGTTCAAAGTTCTGTTGATTGTTGTTGTATTTGGTCGTCTAGTTGTTGTTGAAGTGGTGTTTTGAGCTAACTGTGTATAATAGTCAGTCAATTGTGAGGAGGATTTATCATTAATTTCGTGGTTGTTGTAGTCATTGCTTGATTTTTGTGGTGAACCTGAAAGATGAACATCACTTTCATCAGAGTTACTATCCTTTTGATAGATATTGTTGTTAACATAAGGATTGATAGATTTGGGTCCCATTTGAAGTGGCATTTTGTTGACATTCCTTTCATTGATCATAACTATTTCAGGTGAGGCCTCGTTTTCGGTTTTAAAGTCAATTGTGGAGAAATAACGAGTTAGCTCTTCGTCCTCATCGGAAGGTTGTTGTTGTGATGAAAGACCTTTTTGGTGGTTCGCAAGCTTTGCATTTGAGTTGAGACGACGAGGCGGTCGAGTGGGTGGAGAACCATTGATCGGTTGCTGATAAACTTGATGGTCGGCCCACGACGAGTGCTGCAATGACATGGCCTTCATTTCAGCGGGTGTCGGCAATTCGGGATAATGCAGATAATTGTTTGCTTCTCCGTCCACCTGATCAATGCTCGAATTCAAACCGGGCTGTCGGACACACTCAGCCGGTCTTATTTCAAAGAAAAATAACAAATCGGCGATAAAGGCTAACACATTCGTATGAATAGTCTCGTGAAGGAACAGTATGTCTTCGATTGTTAAAAAACAACAATCAAATGGAAGTTTCTCTTCACAAAAATATTGAATCAATTGGATGTTATATATGGAGTCTTCATCATACATGTCGACACTTATACAGATATCTTGCCATTTGAGATGACCCGGACAGTAAAAGCTAAGTAGCGCTGCCAATGCACAGCCGTCACTCAAATCCATCAAATCGGTGACCATATGAAGTGGAGGAACTGAATCATCACGTGTTTCGGGATTTGCGGCTAATTCAGATTGCATTGTTTGCTTTAATCGGGCGCAACATTTGTTTATCCAAAATATGGCCACTTCTTCTAAATCATCAGGTATTTCGTCTTCTTCTAAATACGAAAACCTGGCCACGACTTCGGCTACCTTATCGGGAATTAACACTTCTTTTATGTATAATGTCATTATGGCTTCAATTATAACCATATGAGCGCTCTATAAAAATAACAAAATGTAATAAATATTAAACATAAATATATTGTAATTTATTAAAGAATAAAAAACAATAAAATAAATAAAAAGCTCAACCATTTGTCATATATATAATAAGTTTTCAATTAAGTGCATAAATTTATACCATTTTAATGGGAGCGGTCTGTATGAGAACCGTTTCGGTTAATGATGTGTCGTTTGGCTCTACCATATAAACCCCTTTGCGCTGAAGTATTTGCATAATACCGAAATGATTCAAACAGTTATAATTGGGATCGGAGTAAATGTTGGCCAACGCCAGACAATAGAGCTCAGCGCTGGCCAATGATTGYGTGATTTGTGGTTTAAGTCTATCATTGTCTTCGTGGTCCTTATAGAAGGGTTCTCTCAGATCTGTTGGCATCTCATTGTTGTAAGCTTTGGATAAAAGCCATAATACCGATGCCCTCTGTTTTGCCTAAAATAGTTAACATTAAAAATAAAGAAATAAAGGTTAATAAAATAAATTTATATTTTTGTGTAAAAATTAGGATTGAGTTCAATTAACTCATTAACTAACTTATTAATTATTTATACTGTATATTAAAACGTATAAAAATAATSTGTAAGAAAATCATAAATAATAAAATTATTATTAATAATACTAATAAATTAATCTAAATAATCTTTTACCAAATCAAGCACTGCATCCAAATCCATAATTAAAACATAAAAACCCAAATTCACTAAACAATAATCACTTTATCAGTTAATGCAAACAAATAAATAGCAAAATTTAATTCAAACAAAATATTAATGATTTGATTAATAAATTCTAGAATATTGTCCATTCATTAAATAAATCATTGGAATTGAATGCCTTAAATGTAATGATAGTTAACTAAAATAGMAAAAATCAGACGCAAAACACTAAACATAAATAAAAATAAGTGTAACTCCTTTTGTGCCTAAAGTTACTTATTTTTGTTATTAAACTTCACAATAAAAATAACAAATGACAGATATCTGATAAATGCTAATTATATTTCATTAAATTTTTTTATACATTAAAGATTAGCTATAAAAGCAACAAAAATGACAAAACCAAGTGCTTCAATAATTTTGTTGAGGTGTTGACCCATTTTAGGCAAAATTTATTAATATTTAAAATAACACACAACTATGGCACTCAAGGCTTAACGCTTTTTAATAAGAAAACAATCAATTTTACTAATAAATATATACTTTCAATAAAATTAATTATAATTACTCGCCGTGTTTAATAAAATACAAATAGTGTAATAGTTTATGACAAACTAATTTATAATATATTCAATTATATGAGAACCTCCACTAACAGGAAATATAATATTTGTCATACACTTTAACTTATAGTCTATAAGATACACCAATTGAATTGTTAGATAAGTTAAAACATTTAAGTCATTATAGCGTTAAACTGTAAAGACATATAAGAAAAAGTTTATTTATTTTTGGATTCATAACAATGACAGATAGATAGAGTATTTCATAAACTGAGAGGAAAATATATTGTTTTATAAATTGTTATAACATGTTATAACTAAATAATTCAAAATAATAAGTGAAAACAACCGATAAAACTTTTTTCTGATAACTCACATCAAACTGATTGGATGACAATTTCATTGCATAAAACTATAAATATGTAATAATACCGGTATGTATTGCATAAGTATTGTGCAGTACTATATATTTTAGTGAATATATATAATTTAAATTCTTTATTAATTATTAAGTTGTAATTAAAATTTAATATTAAAGTTAATATTTTGAAAATAATTATAATTTTGCTAAAAAATTACATGTATCATTCATTGCAATTGTTAAATATTTGTAATGATGTGCAAAATAAATTCAATTTAATAGTTATGTTAATATCATTACTGGGAGTGTTTGAAAGCTGTTAACTAATAATGCATTGGGTTATGGATTAGGTATTATTATCATAAAGACCTTAAAGTCTTCAATGGTAATAATAAATGATATTTTTTTTAATATACATACAAATACAATATTTGCATAAATATGTTAAAAATTCGTTCAAATTATAGCCTTTTGTGGCAAAAATCATTATCAAAATTATAGTGTCGACAGTGAAAGCACGGGTAGAGTTAAGATTAGAGGCTATAACTCCTACTTTATGAGACCAAAACTTATCACAAGTACACAACATTTAATGTTTTTATTAATTTTATAAAAATATTTTTCATATAATCTTTATAAGAGTTTCTATAAAAATATATATACTTTAAAATAATCCTTAAATTTGAAGTACAGTTCGATTAACTCTTATCTGAAAACCATTAATAAAATATTATTATTAAAATATAGAAAATAAACAAAATTTGGACTAAATTATATTTCATCAAATTTTAGTTATACTCTTTGTTAACACAAATAGATAAAAGTTTTGATTGCTATCACGTAATGTTTTGGGCACCTGTTTATATGCGTTGGTGTCCAACCCAATGTCAAAACTCGTATTTGAATGCATGTATGGGGACCTACTTTCATGTAATAGTAGTCATAACAAACTCTATATTCCCCTTATTAGGCAAAACATAAATATTGATTTCTAATTAAATAAATAATACTTAACATACCTTAATGGTAGTCATTGTTGTCTTCACTGTTGTCTTTAATGATGTTTTCACTACAAATAAAAAGTTAATTTAATATAAAATTAGTTATTCAATAATAATAATAATAATAATAATAAAAGTTAAAATTAGTGTTAAACTTACGTTTAAACAAGGGATGAGTAGTCGTCTCCTTTCGTTGTCCTAATTGACGACCAATTGGTTTAGCGCTAAAAGTTATCATAATTTTATTAATAATAATGAACTAGGTCAATCCCGGTTAACTTTTTCAAGTTTACATATAAAAAATACAATTTTTTCGAATAATATATATTAAAGTTTATATACATAATATTTATCATTAATAAGACCTGTTTCACACTAGTCTAGTTTCTAGTCATTTATGATGAGCTAATAACAAATACAGTATTTATATATATATATAATTGTTAATTTTTTTATACTTTTACATAAGGATTAAGATAATAAAGAAAAAGATAAGCAATTTTTGTTTTATGCAATATAACCAAACCTACACCTTAACTTAACCTTACCTTATGCTAACCTAACCTTAAACTACATATCCTCACTTAACATACCCAACCACCCACCCACCCCAAACTAAACCAAATAAAATAAAATAGCACCTATTTATTACAAAATATATTTTATATAAAACTTCTTTAACTACTGTTAAAAATGTGCAAAATATTTTATATTAATTTATTATTTCATTGTAAATTTGCGTGATCTACACATAAGGCCATAAAGCATTCAAAATATGTTTATAGCATTACAAAATATAGTGCGGTATTAATACTTATAACTTATATAAAATATGTTATAAAATTAACCCATAAACAATAAATACAAACATTTTGCTATTTTTTAAATAAAAAAACTAAATATTTTTAATAAGATATCAAATCAACATTAATCTCAATTAATTTATGATATGCTTGTCTTACCATTCATTTGAATAGATAAACAAATATGAGTAGCAAATCCAATGTAAATAAATTTAAATATTTAATGAATTAGATGATTGCTAATGAAAAACATAAGGATAACATATTTATTGAATAATTAATTATATTTAAGTGAAAAAATTACAGTAAAGCTTTTAAAGTAATGTTTTGGTCAACTTTTTGTATAACAACTTCAAATGTTTATCAATAGGAYAACAGTATAAGATTACTAATAAAATTTATCATAAGTTTTCATAAGTTTATTAAATTGAATCTATTTAAACAATACTGATTTTTTTTTAAAAAACAAAATCATAGTTGTAAAACATCAATATATCAAAAGTGCTATCAAACACTTCTACATTAAATGTGTTACAGTTTTTTATAAATATGATATATAAAAAAAGTTATTCAATAAATATGTTTAGCAAATCATTTTTGTTTCACATTTTCACTATTCATGACATTTGTGTTTTCAATTCAAATCAATAGAAAACACTGTATTTATAATTAATTTCGATAAATATATTAATATATCTTATTATATATAATATATTTACTAAAATACATATCAAAAAATATATATTCAATTCAATATCACGAGCGATAACTAAATAATTTTTTTCCTAAATATTCAATTCACTAAAAAACAATGGTTTCACGCGTAACACTATTTAATTATTTATTAATTAATAATAATCATTATTAACTAAAGTACATAACACTTACCATTATATGATAAATAAATGACAATTCATTAGATATTAATTATTATTTTCTTAATAATATGCGACCCATTGATAAATGTATTGTTGACTACATATGATATATCATATAAACACACAAATGTAATAACTATTAAAACTTATGGTATATTATGTCCACCAATAGGTTAACAATGGGATCACATATAATGTCAACAATTATTGCTTAACAATGTTGTCATTCATTGATTCAAAACATTACATCCAATTGTTATACGGCTTTAGTCCTAATTAACTACATATCATATGATTAAAAATATTCAAATTATTATTATTAGTTACCCAACAAAACATGACAACAAACTTCATTATTAATGGCTAACTATTATTGTAATCGTAAGACATGATCGCAATGTTTTGGATCAGTTTTGGTGATAATACTAATCACTCAAATAGTTATATGTTTTCACAAAAACAGTAATCAATTCAATGACTGAGTTCTCAATTCAATCAAACGTTTCGTAGAAATGTTGGGAAAATATCAACTCAATAGTCGACTCAATATAAGATAATTCAATGACAATCCTTAACAGTCAAAGTAAACACTTTATTCAAACACTATCCAAATGTATACATGTTTTTCTATATACTGTATAAATCTATAGTTAATCAAACAGTCCTTTAAATGTTTTCAATGACGTAATTCATTTGATTACCATATGATATATCGCCTACTTTTGATGTCATAGTAAATATAATAATATTAATACAACAATGCATTACAACTTGTATTAGTATTACATAGTTATATGACTGTAGTATTCATAGTAATAACAATAGTCAACAATATCGGCAAAAATCGGTATTTATTTTCAATTTTGATAAACAATTGATATATATATGAAATCATGAATTATCGTCAATACATACCGTTAGTCATATTATTTATATTATGCAATATATGGATGTGTTTATCGGCTAAATATTACTCGTATGTGACCTGCGGTTCGGTAATAAAGCTGTTGAACAGCAACTATAAGGTACGCCTGCACTCACACGATGTTAAGTACGGGTCGGGTAGCGGCCAACAGTCTGTGACGGGTACAGACACTCAGGAGGATGTTAACAGTTATTGGACAGTGCGGTCCAAGACTGAGCGCCAGTGTGTTCGTGGCGAACCATTTGAGTGCGGATCAGTCGTCCGATTGCAACACATGTCCACTAAGAAAAACCTTCACAGCCATCACTTTTCGTCACCGCTGTCCGGTAATCAAGAGGTCAGCGCTTTCGGCGACAAAAATGGCGACGGAGATACCGGTGACAACTGGACACTCGTCTGTAGCGGCGATTTCTGGGAACGAGAAAAGGACTTTCGGCTCAAACATGTGGACACAGAAATGTATTAATTTGATGACTGGAAATGATTTTACAACTATTATTGATTATTATCCTATTTTGCATTACCGTAGGTGGCTATCCATCTCTGGACACCAATACGGTCGTCCAATTCACGGTCAAATGGAGATCGTCGGCTCATCACATCCCGACAGTGCTAGCTATTGGAGAACAGTTGAAGGCGTTTACATGAAGCCATCTGAAGGCCAGAGCAACCATAAGAGTGATGTGGATCACGACGAGCTATAAGTGGATACAACTCTAGAATATTATATTAATTAGTCATTTAATTATAATTTCATTTTCTAAATTATTTTTAATTTATATTTTTATATACATATTTCACAATACAATAAAATATATGACTGTTTTGTTTTCAATGTTTTTTTTTATACAAAATGTTTATATTCTACAAATTTAAACATCCAATGATTTAGGGGCTCTTATTTGACGTCCAGTTCGTGTAGCGCTTTGACTGATAACAGTTGGCATTTCAGAAATACCATAACTAAGCCCATAATGTCTTTCAGTCTTAGGAGTTAAAGTTCCTTCTGTAGGAATGGGAGTCAGAGGAACCGATTCTGGGGTAATGTTTTGTTCGGGATTAGGTTTCGTAGTCTTTTCAGATAACATCTGAATAGCTGGTTCTGTAGGATGTGGTGGTAGTGGTGCAGCTGTACTAGTACTCGGTTTAAGTACCGGAGTATCAACTTTTATGGCTGGAGTTGGTTTTGCAGATGCAGATGCAGTGACAGGTGGTTCAGGTTTTTTATTTTCCGATGCATTAACTTTAATTGGTGTCTCTTTATTAGGTTTTTCAACTTTAGTAATATCCGATGATTTTGGCTTTTTTCTCGATCTACTTCTTGAATCGCGATCTTTATCTCGATTTGGTGGACGTCGTCTGGGTTTAGGCTTTGGAATAGCTGTCACACCTAACGGTGTCTTATTGGATGTATTTTTAGCCGAATTGCGTGATTGTGGGTATGACTGTGTGCTTGGATTGAGAGCACTGCTAACAAAATCATAGATTTCATCGGCAATACAGCGGTCGACCATTGCTTGTGTGATGCCTTCGAACTTCTTTTTATTGTTGGACACAGAAAGTCGATCATTAGCGCCGCCGACCACTACTAAACCCGTTTCTGTTTTAGTGATGCGCTCTCTAAAGTCTTCCATATCGTCGAGTGTTGCCATTGTTGAGTTCTGGCCGATGACAAACATTGTGGGAACTGTAGTCTCTAACAACGGGTCATCCAAATCCTAAATAAAAATAATAAATAAAATAAATAAACCGTAATTTTATCGGTAATTTATGAGGACTTACTCCTCGGAAACCATTGATTGCTGTCAATGGGAAACCCAAGCAAATGGTTGCATTAACATTTGATGCGTTGTCCAGTGCGCAGTGTGCGGCCACTAGTGAAGAGTGACCAAAGCCCACGAGTACSAGAGGTCGGCCCTCATTGAACGTAGACTTACACTCTTTAATCTTCTCGCGTACAGAATATCGGATCTCATTCATGAAGTCGTTCACTATTTCGTAAGGTCTCAATACAGCATTAATTGTTATGACTTTCCCCAATGAACCAAACAAATTGTGCCAATACTTCATACGCTGTGATGTCATCTGATGCGCCACTTGTGGWCCATTTGGTACAATGAGAAATAGTGGGCTTCCGTTTATGCGTTTCTTTAGTAATTTAAACACATTTCACAATGAGATTTAAATTTAGTTTATTTAATAATTATATTATTAATGATTACCGATTTATAGCTATTAAGCATTGATTGGATGGGATCACCGCTTATTGATTTTGTTGATCGCATTAATGCTTCATATTTYGACGGCACATAAAATTTGTCCATTAATGTTGGGATCTAATAGTAAAGAAATATAGCATATTTTATAGAATAAAATCATCACTCAATTAAATGAGACAAACCTTATTCCTCAAGATATTCATGGCCTCATGATATGGACCGAGAAATACTGGTCCTAAATATTCATTAAGTGTTGTGTTGAGCCATGAGATCTGATTGATGTCCCAACCGGTGGCCGCAAACAAGTACCGAAACTTAGTGGTCGTTCTCTCCATTAAATTCTTTTTGAGTATCACTTCATTCGGCAGAGAATCGTACGTAAGTCGTGTTAAACGATCCGAACTGAGAATATCGACGGCTTGAGTCCACAATTTGTTCATCTGTGGCGTCCAYCCTGTTTTCGTCGGTGTTGTCAAYTCATTGCTATTGAGATCTTCGGGAGTCAACATTTGAATTGTGCTCTTCGGCTTCAAGTCATTGGCCGACACAAATGGCGGCAATTTAACGGTGTCCACAGTTTCCACATCTATTGGTTGCATCAAATTCATATAAAGATATCTTTTAGCAAAATGTTTCGGGAAGTTCTTCATAAACAAAAATTTGGCCGCTTTTGCCCGGATCTGGCCGTCCGGGTGTCGATTCCACGGTTTGGCGTAATTGTGATCGGCGTCGACAACACTAAACCGTTTCTCTTGACCACTAAGACTATGCAGATATGTCTGAACCGATTGTGAATTCATATAGTGATGAATATTGTCTGCAAACGACGTGTCCATTGGTTCCGTACTCTTCATTGTCGATGTGTTTGTCGACAAAAAACTTGAATTTTGTGACCAATTGTTTGTCAGTCAATACTATTAATACAATACAACACCCGTTTGGAGACACACTATGACGGGTCGTTCATAAGCAACGTCAACATTGAATGTATTGCAGTAGTGATGGACTAATGTATTGAAGCCAATGGTTTGTATGGTTTGGTGTGGGCTGTGCTCTGATTACTAATGCAGTTATACCACCACTTGTTAGCGTCTATTGATAGTACAGCTGTAGTGTTACAGTTGAATGYCAGTCACCACAGCACTGGTAGCAGAAGGACAGTACAGTAATTGATGCTCTAAAACATTTAGAGAGAAAGAGAGAAAGAAAGAGAGAGAGTGAAAGAGAGAGAGAGAAAGAAAGTTAGGTTAGTTATGACCACTAATATAACAAATAGTTTGATAACCGATGACGATATCGGCAACGATTACATCCTTAATGTGATTCAATTAACCAAATCTTCGTCTGAAGACAAATGCTATTACAATAATTTGTCATCAAATCTCACAGCAATTGGTAAGCAATGATTGAAAATACAAGTATTTTTTAAAAAATCTAATCTTTTTTTTAATGAAAATAAAACTTTTGATAATTTTTTTTGTTTTAATTATGTCTAATATTTGTTTGAATGCAAGTTTTTCTTTCTCTAATCATTTACACAAATGATATAATATTTAATCTTTAAATTTTTAAAAAACATTTATAAATAAAACTTTAATCAATTTATTATATCTATATATCTATACTGGTATATAATATTATATATAATGTTTAGTTAATTGATTTGTATTTTTTATAATTTAATAAATTTATGAAAGTATTTTTCTAAAAATATATTTTTGTTTCATAGTTATAATACTGTAGAATCAATATTAAATATTATATAAAGTATTTTATTTATAGTTTTTTGTTTATAACTACTATAGGAGTAAATCGTTTTTATTTAACAATATAAAGATATTATATTATTTTTCGTTTTTTTAATGTTATAGAGTCTAACTTATATAATAAAATAGTAAACAATGATTTTCACTTCATATAAATTTATTAAAGCAATACTASTACCAGATTCTACTAAAAAAATTAGTTTATATTATTTAATTTATAGGATTATATGACAGATTTATTAGAAAACAGGATTATGTGTTGAAATTTTTCTAAATATGTAAAAAATATATATTAAACTAAATATATTCAAAAACCTATTGTCAACTATTACTATATAAATAGATGAGCCTATAATTAATTGACATAAATATTAAAGTAAATATCATTCATTGTTCATCAAAATTGTTTGACTGAATTGATTACATAAATTTTGATCATTTATTACTTTATGATAACACATGAGTTCACTCGGATTACATTATATTTATTAATCCAGTCATGCGATTGTCTTTTGATGGCATAAAAACAATTTATCCAATTGATTATTGTTATATTACAAACAAAAAAAATTGCTATATTTTTTTGTATCAATAAAATTATTGTTTGTCACTATTTTTATACCAAACACACTATTTGTCCACTTAAGTAAATTGTCTTACAGTTATGCTATAATAAATCTTATATTTATAAAAAAAATTATCAAATAATACTAAAATATAAGAAATTCATTTGAATTATTTTTTTATATCTACAAAATAAGCTAATATATAATATTATATCATTTAATTTATTATATCTAATATATAATTTGATTTATTATTTTATCTATTAGATTGAATAGATTGAATCATCCTAAGTAGTTTTATTTAAATATATTTTTTTATCTGTAAACATCAAACCAAAAATAAATTATATACAGTWTAATACAGTAGTTGTTTCTCTTATTACATGATTATACGATACAGAATATAAATGTTAATACTGTATATATCTATATATAATTTTAATTTATGATAACTTCTTTATATTTTTAATTAAATAAACATTTCAATTAATAGATCTGTATTGTATAACATTAGTAATAACATTTAATTATACTTTAAATTAATAAACTTAATATTTTAAATTTATAATGAAAGTATTAAGTAATTTCTCAAAATTTACTTTTACATTAAATATCTCGGATATACTTATTTTTAACCATAATACCCTGTTTTCATAAAGAAAACTCTGAAAGTATTTTCTAAATTTCTTAATAAAAACACTACTTATACTTTACTTTTAAAGTTAGCAAAAACACAAAACTTTGAGAGAAAGTAGACTTCAAATACTTAATAAAAACCATACTTACAAAGTATGAGGTAAAGCACATGCGTTACACATATATTGTATTTATTATATTATTTGAAATTTTTGTATTAATATTTTATGTCAATATAAATATTAAAATCTAAATGATTAATAAATATTAATTATTATAAAAGTAATGCTAAAGTATATCTTAATGAAAACGATTTTATACTTTACTTTGAGAGAAATACTTGCAGAGAATGCTTTATAAAAACAAGGTATAAGTGATTAATTTATATTAGAAAATTTGTTATTAAGTATATTATATAAACAATTTACAACTGTATATTAAATGAGCTATAATGTAGAAAAAATCTTATTTGATAAAAAAATAATGAAATGGTTTGTTTAAGTTTAAGTTAGTTGTAACAGCAGTCTTAAAAGTAAAGTATTGCATATATTTTTTATTATTGTTGTAACAAATTAATTATAATTGATCTATAATAATAATAACAATAATATCTATAATAATATTCCATTGAAGCAGTTTTTAATTAATTTTAAAATTAAATCAAAATGTAAAAAAACTATTAAATCAATTTGAATGTCACAACATTTTATAGAAATCTGAGATAAATTTTATTTATTTTATTACATTAGTTTGTTTAGTATTGTAAATAATGTAAAATTTTATCACATTTGCTAAATAGTTAGCATATTCTGGTATACATAATATACAAATATTTTAATTTTKATTTCTAGTATAATATAAATCATAATAATTGAATCAATTTATGTTGTTAGGCAATATGCAAAATAAGGATTTGTATTTTTATATTATTATTASTTTATTTATATTATCAAATCTGGTATTACTTAAAAATAACTTTATTYTGTTTATTTAAATTCTTTTATTTAGAATAACAATTCAATTAATTTTATATTAGTTTTTCAATTTAGTTAAAAATATTTTAAACTAAATTAGAAAAACTATTATAGTTTTACTAATTACATTATTAATATTGATAACTTAAATTTAATAATAATAATAATAATAATATATAGCATTTTTCGCTTAATATAGTTTGTATTTTATGTAATAAAAAAAATTTATTATTTGTTTTGTTAATTTGTACCAAATTTTGTGAAATAAAATTTTATCACTTTTGATTAAAATTGCATTTTTTATTTTTGTTAGTAAAATCTTTAATCTATAAAACTTCCTGTATTTTATTGACAGTAAACGGATTGATATATTTTATTTATTTGTCAAAATCAATATATACAAAATACATGTAGTAATGCCCTATCGTTTCACATGACATACTTTAAAACTTAACATTTATATGCCTACTATTCCCCACACGTTTTTCATCCCTAAACAATCTCCAATCAATCCCCTTAGCAATGGCTTTCAATTTATTTTATATTGACTTTTACTCTTTTTGCTCTTTTAATTGAATACTTATATCAATTTTTATTAACAGACAAACTGTTAGTTTGTTATCAAATATGTATTATTGTGACCATTATTATTAAAGACTAGTCATAATGTTATCAAAAGATATCGATAAGTAATGATATTACAAATTTGACAGTTATTTTACGAAATAAATATTATGCAAAAAATTTATAAATTATTGACTTCTCACTGATCTCTGAAACAGTAGTATATCATTGTGTCAATTATTTTATACTCAAAAGTAACTCATATGTCATACATGAGTGTCCGGAAACCTCTCTCGCTCTCTCTCTCTCTCTCTCTCTCTCTCTCTCTCTCTCTCTCTACACACACTTTCATCACTTAATAATTATTGCATGTTATATAGATAACTCATAACAAAACCACTTAATCTGTCATTAAGTTAATGATAAACTGTTATTACTTCCTATTAATAATAGTTAACAATAATTTTTGCATTAATTATATATCAATATATACATGTTTATGTGTGTGAATTCATTGTCAATATATACAGAATATAAAAATTATAGACATTACTGTATAACAAAATGGATGGTAAACACAAAAATACATATCTAATACATTATGTACAGTACAAACTGTATTACACAATTATGTTATATAAACACAGTCATCAATAATTTCAAACTTAGCCACTGTTTAAAAAAATTGCTTAATTTTAGGCTTTTATTTAATGTGCATAAAAGCTAAAAATAAAAGGTAAATAATTTGTTATATACTAATAGTTATTAGTCATATAACCATTAATATCCAATATATTGCATTATATCCCTGAAATTCATTTGAACAGTGAATTAAAGAAAGAAATTCTTGGCCTTAATTTGATATATCAATATAAATTCATTCATTGAAATACATGTTTAATGAATTTTATATATCATGTAATCGATTCTCTCTCTCTCTYTCTCTCTCTCTCTCTCTCTCTTTTGTTACATTGATTACTGTTTATACACTAAATTTGATATCATATTGTGCTCTCTATATTATAGATAAATGAAAAGATAATATAAAATAAAATGAAATAATTGTATAGATATTTGAAGTTAACTTTATTTATAAATATTTTTAATATTCATAAATTAGAAAAATATATATTTACTTTTTATTTAATTTTATAGAGAAAGATAATTTGTTGTTTAAAATTTTTGTATATTATAATTTAGTATTTCATATAAATTTACTGTGTAAATGTCACAAACGGTTGATTATTTAATATAATTAAAAGTACCTCAGGTATATTTATTATAATTTTAAATTTTATTTATTAAAATTGCAAAACAAATAACAAAATTTTAAATATAAATATATACCTGTACAGTATGTACAGTAAAATTGTATTAACCTTAACTAATTTGACATTTTATCTAAAAAAAGTCTATCTCTAATACATAGAAAATGTAAGAGAAATTTTGATATTTATTAGTTTAATAACTTATTTAATAGAATGCAATAAAAATAGGAAACATTTTGTTTTTGTGTGAYTTTTTTCTAAGTTTTTTGACAATAAATAACTAACTGATGGTATTTAAGTTAATTAGACGTTAAGTCAGGATTTTATTTTTCTATTTTCTATAATTTAATCTTTTAGTTATTAACATTTTTTCAGCTATTTTATTAACTTTTTTTCGCTGTATTTTATGTGCAATTTTCGATAGCTTTTTGCAAAGTCATTATTTATTTTTAGAAAAATTTATTGTAAATATTATATAACTTATAAACATATGTTTTATTAATTATTGAATTATTAAATAAAAACTACTGAATTTATCTATAAATATCATAAACATTGGAAATATCCACTTGTATTGAATATATAGTGGTGTCATTTATCAAACATATCTACAAAACAACTATACAATTATCATTATAATATACTGTATTTATATGAATCATATAATATGATAATAAAGTGTTAATTAATTAATATTTATTTAGTTCACTGATTAAATTATTTATAGTAAAAACACTATAATATATGTGTTAATTAATGCATTTCCTAAAGCTATACTAATATTATACAAAAAATTATACTATATGTCACAATAGTATCAATATATTTATATTTATGTCTAATTACAGTAGTTTTTTTTGTTTTGTTATATCATATATGACACAACTAAATACATTTATTAAATCAATAAATAACTTTAGTTAAAAAATAGTAAGTACTGTATATTAAATTATGTTTATAAATAATAACTTTAATTACACATTTAATATATAACTTATATATGATTTATTTTAATAAATTAAATATTAAATGTAACTATGCATATTTAATCTAATRCATAAATATGTATAATTTGAGAATTGCATAAATAATATAATATTTCTAATATATTTCTAAAATTTTTTTAAAAATATGATATTTTAGATTTAGGTCGAGTTGACAATTGATTAAGTGGTTTATAGTCTAAATAAATAGAAATATAATATATTGTTTAAATTCAGCCAAAATATATATTTTAATAAAAAATATTTTATGCTAAGTAAATTATTTATATTCATATTTATTGAAAATTTTAAAACATATTCATATTTCATATAATATAATATTTTATCACTAAAAATATTTTTTTAAATTTTATTGACAGATAATCAAACAAATTTTAGTGATTATATTCCAAATAATACTCTTCAYTGCAATACAACATGGGATCAGGTGTCGTGTTGGACGTCAACAATGGCCGGACAGTTATCAGTGATTCCCTGTTTTGGCGAATTCAATGGTGTTCTTTACGATATATTTCGTGAGTCTTCTATTTGTTAAGTAATTTAATGATTATATTATTAGTTCACAGAATTTAAGAATATTCTGTTATATATATATTAAAAAACTATTAGAAAATTCTTCGCGAATGTGCTATGAAAACGGCAGTTGGGCTGAAAAGGCCGACTATAGTAAATGTATGCCTTTACCTGTTTATCAAGAGATACCTCATGTATGTATAACTACCAATATCTACCTGTTTTTCACTAATTATTATTACATAAACTTTGATTTTTGCTGTTTTTGTTAGACCTTATGGGATGTCAGAGATACGGTTATTATCTATTATACCGGTTATATCATATCACTTATAGCACTGACCATAGCTTTGTGGATATTCTTATATTTCAAGTAAAACATTATTTTTAATGTATATTTTGGCGAAACAACATAAACAAACCAATGTTTTTATAAATGATAATTTATGTTATTATTTGTCTTCAAATAAAAAATACAGAGATTTACGTTGTGTTCGTAATACAATTCATACAAATCTAATGATCACATATATGTAAGTTTTATTTTTATTGTGACAATGAATTGCTTATCTAAACATTAAAAAATTGATGCATGTGTTTTTGTCGACATATATAAATTATTGGTATATACTGTATATATATATATATATATTTATATATATAAATGTTATAAATCAGGCTCATTGCCATTTGTTGGATCATCACTGATAGATTGCATTCAAATCCCTTGTCAAACGTTTCAAACAAAGTAAATAAAGTTTATATTGCTAAGCAATGCACAATTTTTTTGATGAAATCTAAATTTGTTGTCCATTTTTTATCTCTTATATTGTTTGGATGGCTCTCTCTCTCTCTCTCTCTCTCTCTCTCTCTCTCTCTCTCTCTCTCTTTATCTATGTGTGTGGTTTATCTGATGTGGTCAGTCTGCCTGTACGCTTGTCATACTATTAACATATTTAATGGGAACCAACTTTTTCTGGATGTTCGTCGAGGGTCTCTATCTTTACATTTTGGTGGTCAAGACATTCTCCATAGAGTTAGTCAAAGTCCACTTATACGCCTTTATTGGTTGGGGTAATCATTCATTTTTATATATTTTTTTGTTATTTAATATTAGTATTTTACTATAATTACTGAACAGTAAATATAATTTAATTTCAATAGAAATTTMAAATATATAAATTTAAATTTATTTTATGTTATTACCATATATATTGACTATTTACAGTAAATTATAATAACAAATTGATTCAATATTATTATTCTTATGTCAATAGACAAAATAATCAAAATAAACTTTAAAAATTAATTTTATTTTTTCAGGTTTGCCAGCACTAGTGGTAATTGTTTGGGCACCTGTCAAGTATTATTTCACTCAAAGTGACCCAAATGGTCCGGCAGGGTATGTATTTATATATTTATTTGTTAGACATTTACTATTTTTCCTTATTTACTATAAATAATTTATTCATATATCGCACCCAATGTGTGGCGAAGCACTTGATTCAAAAAATATAATATATATAATATAATATAAGGTTTCAAATTATTTAGGGGTTTTGTTGTTGTTGTTGTATTTGTTAGTGTAGTTGAAGTGAATCTATTGTTATATATTCAACAATCCGTTGTCTAAGATTGTTGACAAATGCATTATTAATGGCATTTGGATTGTCCGCACATATATTAAACCCTATTGTCATGACCTGTCTAACCGTATAATCTTTTATCTTTTTTTTATATATATATGACATATATGTTGTGCCAATATATATGTATGTCAGCTGTCCGTGGCAACTCAAGGACTACTTTGATTATATTTTTATATGTCCAGTACTACTTGTCTTATTGGTATTATATCACATATTTATTTATTTTAGTCATTTATTTATATAAATATCTATTTGATTGAATAATAAAACATATTAGTCCAATATATTTTATATTGTCTAATATATATATATATATATATATATCTAAGATAATTGTAATGTATTTTTTCTGTCTAATAATAAAGGTAAATATATTTTTCTTGGGCAAAATCATGTGGGTATTGATAACCAAACTGAGAGCGGCTACATCAGCTGAGTCCAAACAATATCGGTTTGTATTACAATTTATATTTATTATATAATAAAAAAAAGTAGTTGTCAATCAAATCAAATAAAGCATACATAAAGTGTTTATTTATTTAAATCTTTTTAAAAATTTATTTCGACGACAATATTAGAAARGCGGCCAAAGCCTTACTCGTGTTGACACCATTACTAGGAGTGGCATATATGTTGGTTTTGGTGACTCCAACTCACAGAACAGCTAAAGTTATTTTTCATTATCTTCAAGCATTACTTGTGTCCACACAAGTGAGTAGCCATACATCAGATATAAAAAATATAATATTTAATTGAATTCAATTGACTGTTCAATATATATATGCAGGGCTTCACTGTTGCTGTGCTTTACTGCTTTTGTAATGGAGAGGTATTATTGTATTTTTTTAATTATTGTTGAAAACTATTTATAATATAATTTATAACAATATATTTGTATTGTTCTTCAAATCTTTAGGTGAGAAACTCTGTTCGCCATCACTTCGAGCGCTTTAAACTAAGGCGAACCCTAAGAGGTGGCGAATACCCGGCCACTGGACACAGGAGTGCGTATGCGTTCCGATCGCTCAGAAATGGTGACAACGTTAAGCTTTATCGGACACGAGGAGAAAGGGATAGGACTGATAGGGGCTCATGTATTAGCTTTTCCACGACTACCACTTATGTTACATCCAATAGTCATTCAACAAAATCTCATCACAAGGGTATCAATGGATCAGTTAAAGACTATAAGGCCTCCTACGGGATGGTCAGTCGTAAACCTAGTGATGAGGATGTTCTCTAAAAAATATATATATATTCTGTTAAATCAAATATTCATCTATCCTTTACTCTCTAATTATAGTTATATTTTATTATCAAAATATTAGTCTCATTATTGTTAGTAATATACTGTATATCTATTGTCAAAACTATAAGAATTAACAATTATGAACAACATGTATGAATATATATTATTTTTTAATAATTATATTACTTATATACTGTATCTATACTTATATATTGTATATGAGTGTATATATAAATTTATTTAATTTATATCATAAAATTGGAATCTCATTAATGTCTATTTATTTTTTATGATTATTATATTGCAATTAATGAAAATTAATTTTTAATAATATAACTTAAAGTTTCTATCATAATTGTAGGAAATTATTTATTTGATAATATAATTCGTGTTTTAATTTTTTTAATATTTTGTTTCTACAATATTATTAAATTTATATTAGAAAATCATTTATAAACATATTATCATATAATACCTCATAATTATGTGCATATTTTTGTACACTATGTATAATATTAATATAATTGTTTTGAACATAATTTAATTAGTTTTATAATGAAAAATAATGTTTTTAAGTGAGAACCTGTAAGAGCTTATAAAAATGACGATAAATCATTATATAATTAATGGGAATATTTTATGACAACTTATTTAATATATTACTTTATTTAGACATTTTTTAATTTTACATTAAGTAATACTCAACTCAATCAAAAATGAAAATATAATTAAAGTTTATATAAGCATGTGATTGTATTAATTATGTTTGCATTTATTTTCAAATTTTATACATTTTAGTTTAATAATTTATAATTTATTTTATATATTAATTATGTTCTATATTAGTAAATACATAATATCATAAAAATTTTAATATATGAATAATAAATTCAAATTTAAATTTGTATTTATTTTGTTTGTTAATAATCTTTATTATAATTTAAACGTTAAATATATCAATATTGATTATATAAATTATTTTTATAATATTGTATATTTATATTATATATATAATAATAATATTAAATATAAATAATATAAATTTAATGTAATTAATTTAAATAAATCAAAAATGTCACACAAAAGTAAATGTCTTATTATCTATATTTTATTATTGTTAATGTAATCAAATAAATGTTGTCAATTGCTTTGTATTTAAGGTTTTATTATATTATTAATTATATATTTAATATATTAGGTTTATTAACTTTTTTTGATAATTAACTTTTTTTTGATAATTAACTAATTTTATGATTTTGTCGATGAAATTAATATCATAGCATTGTTTTATAGTTTTTTATTAAGGCTGTCTACAATATATTTTATACATTTGATCGTATTGTAGACATATGTATACAATATATCAATATATAAACGGTGTGTAAGGATATCAATATCTTCATAGAAATCATTACAAGTCTTTCAATTTATGGTCTTTACTATCATCTAAATGTCTTATGATTTTTCATTCAATAAAAAACAATTCACAATTGTATATATATTATGCATATACTGTACATACGGTATATATATTGAAAATMAATTTAAATCAAAATTTCAGTAGTTTTTGTTGTCTTAAAATTTTTTATATAACTTTTAAATCCATATAAAGTTATAATTTATATCAATATATAATGGTTACCATTGAATACTAAGACATTCATTTGATAACATGAATTAAATTTCTTTTAGTACTCAAACCAGAAGGACATAAGTCTGGACCAAATTATGTCTAAAAAATACATAAATACTGATAATTAGTGTGACTTTGATATTTTATATTACTTTAAATCAATAGTAATAAGTTATAACAATTATTTTATTTGTTTTTATAAATTATAATTATTGAAATTCAATATCTAAATTAGTGATAAATTAAAATTCAATAATGATTTCTATTTTCAATGATTTYTATTTTTTAAATAACATTTTTTTGAAGAGAAATCGCAAATATAATTTAGTATTTAGTAAATTTATATCAATACATACAGTATTAATGTTAATATATAATATAATATGATATATTCAACTTAGATTTGACACATTATTTGGGTCATAGAAAAGTCAATCAAAAGTTAATATAAATTGTCCCCAATTTTTGTTTTGCACATAATTTTCAATAATAATAATAATATCAATAGAATTCCTATAAAAATATATTACATTTGCAATAAATATTATTCCAATAAATTATATAATCTATTTTGAAATACAAAGTTTACAAAATGTCATTATTTTAAATTATAATACTATATAGTATATAGTGTATCATTTATAAATAATATACAAAAAACTAAACTGGCTAATTAAAATAACACTCACTCACTCTCATAATGTAAATATCACTTACTCTTWAAAAAATTTATGCGATTTAATCACTTAGTTTGAGCCAAATTTTATTAACCGCAATAACAAGTGATATATTTTTGACACGTGTTTTGGAAAATGATACCACTTTTATAATATAATACTTTTATTGATTGATTTATATTACACTGAACTGTACTGTATTAGCGGTAGAGAATGGCAAATAAAAATTTCTAATAAATTTCAATGAGAAAAGTTCTAGTAAATTTCTTAATAATAAATTTCTATAGAAATTATACTTACTATTAAGTATGGGATCCACATATATAATACTTTAATACTCTATTAATGAGACGATACGGGTATAATGTGTATTACACTACTATACAAACTGAATCACTATATATCTAATAATATAATAATTATATTTTTTTTGTAAAATTTTACTCATCATTCAATTAAATTTTAAGTTTAATATAATTAAATAGATAAATTTTTAATTTACAATTTTAATTAAAATACTAATAATAATATCAATAGTTATTATTTGAAATAATAATCTATTGTTATCAGATAGTTATTATTTGAAAATAATTAATACTAATTATATATTTTAACAAAAAATATTATAAAATATGATAACAAATATTAATAATTGCAATTAAAATTAACATGGGCATCCCATATACAGAAATTTCTTTTAGAAACTTTCAGAAAGTTCTCATTTTTGCTAACTTAGCGGTCAATTGATATATATTCAGAACTGTTTATATTTTACCATTAATTAGCTTTGGGTGCGAGGGTTACGAGATATATGCAATAATTGTATATTTATTTTGTAATAATAATATTATTTTTTAAAATGTTTTTTTAAATATWYAAAGTTTAAAATACTGTWTAATCTAAATGAGATAATTAATAATAATATATATTATGTAAAAGAAATTTTTTTATTATTTTTTAAAATAATTTTTGAACGTTATCAATAAAAATCATAAAATCTTATGACTTAATAATTATTATTTTGAATGCAATTATTTAATGCAAAATTCTCATAACAAAAACATTACATTCATATTAGATTACATTACATGTAAATGACTTCCGATTAATTAGTCATTCATTAGATTGAAATTAACTAAATGATTAATATAACAATTTAATAGTATACAATTAAAATTTTTTATTATTTTTWAATTGTATAATTAAACTTATTTAAATATTTTTATTTTTTAGTTAATCTATATAATAGATCCTATAATAATGATATTTATAATACTTTTATTTAGCATTTAATTTWAAGCAATGAAATATAAAAAAAGTTAACAAAATATTTAATTTATTAATTAAAAAATTTATTACTTTAATAGAATTTTTGCAATATTGCGAAAAATATGCAAATTATTTTTATAAAATAATTCTAATCTACAAAATAAATATATATTTAATAATTAATTATTAAAATTTATTTGAAAAACTTTAAACGTAAACTTTTATTAATGTTTTCATATCTATAATAGAAATAATATAATTTATAAATTGTAACCCCAAATCATTATTTTTTATAAATCAGCATTATAAAACAATTTTTACTTTATCAATTAATATTAATTAAATTAGATAAATCACTATAATAATAATTTAGACTTAGTTTAATTAACTTTTATAGGATTATAAACTTAAATATTTTTTTTTGTTTTTTTAAATTTTAATTCTTAAATTTTTTAAAATTTAAGTTAATCTGTTAATGAAATTTAAATAAAATTAATCAAATAATTAGTAATACAATTTTAGTTAGTTTTACAATAATTAAATTAATAAGTAATATTTTTTAGACAATTATATATTTTATAGTAATATTTTTTTAATTTAACATTTAGTGATTACTTTTAGAAAATACTCATAATTTGCTGATAAAAGTTGTTTGTTTGAAAGTTTATCGTAAAATAAATGATAAAATAATTATTAAATACTAAATGTGTATAAATTTAAAGTTAATGTGACTAATCATAAGGATATTGATTGAGATATATTTATATTCAATAATATTATATGAATGATTATATTTTTTAGGAGTAAATAAAACAATTTATTAAATTGATTATATAAAACTAGTAATTTATTTGATATCAATTAATAACAATTTTTTTCATATCATTTTCTCATGCAATCGTTGATTAATAGCCAACAAATCTATGTAAATATTTTTTATAGACTTCCAATTATTTTACTACTAATTAAGTTATATATTTAGGTGAAATTTTTTACAATAATTACAAATAATAATATTTAATCACATTACTTATTTAAAAAAATACAATAATAATATGGCTAGAATTATTTGTAACTACTGTATATATAACTTAATAATGTATTAATTATTAAAAAATAAAAATTCATGTATGTATAATATATAACATACATTGTATATACATATATAACAAAATAATTATTTTTTTCTATTATGAATTAATACAATATATTTTAATGATTTTCATTTGTTATTATTGCACACACAGTATTATATTTTGTTTTAGTTTAGTTGTTTGTGTCAATTATAGTTATTACTTAAGTAAATGAAATAAATCTWYTATATTATGAAGTGTAATGCAAATGTCATACAATATAAACATTAAATATAAACACTGTCGCCGTTATAGAGTAGATGTAATACAATTGGCACTTGT